GTTTATTTTAGTATTTCCTGTTGTAGTTAGTAGTTTATTTTAGTATTTCCTGTTGTAGTTAGTAGTTTATTTTAGTATTTCCTGTAGTAGTTAGTAGTAGCTTATTTTAGTATTTACTGTAGTAGTAGTTAAAAAGTAGTTTATTTTAGTATTTACTGTAGTAGTAAGTAGTAGTTTATTTTAGTATTTACTGTAGTAGTAAGTAGTAGTTTATTTTAGTATTTACTGTATTAGTAGTAAATAGTAGTTTATTTTAGTATTTACTGTAGTAGTAAGTAGTAGTTTATTTTAGTATTTACTGTAGTAGTAGTAAATAGTAGTTTATTTTAGTATTTACTGTAGTAGTAGTAAATAGTAGTTTATTTTAGTATTTACTGTAGTAGTAGTAGCAACTGGTAGAGCTGCTGCCTCTCAGCGAGCAGGTCCCTGGTTCAAACCCCGGTCCAAGGGCCTTTCTGGGTGGAGTTTGCATGTTCTGTCCGTGCATGCGTGGGTTTTCTCCGGGTACTCCGGTTTCCTCCCACAGTCCAAAAACATGCATGTTAGGCTGATTGGTAACTCTAAATTGTCCTTAGGTGTGAGTGAGAGAGTGAGTGGTTGTTTGTCTCGTTTGTCTCTGTGTGGCCCTGTGATGGACTTGCGACCCGTCCAGGGTGTACCCCGCCCCTCGCACAGTGATTGCTGGACATGGGCACCAGCGACCCCCGTGACCCAAAATGGAATAAGCGGGTAAAGAAAATGGATGGATGGATGGATGTAGTAGTAGTAAGTAGTAGTTTAGTTTAGTATTTAATGTAGTAGTAAGTAGTAGTTTATTTTAGTATTTACTGTAGTAGTAGTAAATAGTAGTTTATTTTAGTATTTACTGTAGTAGTAGTAAATAGTAGTTTATTTTAGTATTTACTGTAGTAGTAGTAAATAGTAGTTTATTTTAGTATTTACTGTAGTAGTAGTAAATAGTAGTTTATTTTAGTATTTACTGTAGTAGTAAGTAGTAGTTTATTTTAGTATTTGCTGTAGTAGTAGTAAATAGTAGTTTATTTTCGTATTTACTGTAGTAGTAAGTAGTAGTTTATTTTAGTATTTGCTGTAGTAGTAGTAAATAGTAGTTTATTTTAGTATTTACTGTAGTAGTAGTAAATAGTAGTTTATTTTACATTTACTGTAGTAGTAAGTAGTAGTTTATTTTAGTAGGTACTGCTGTACTAGTAGTAAATAGTAGTTTATTTTAGTATTTACTGTAGTCTGCGTTTCTCCATCCAGCTCTAAACTGCAGGTACAGATAGTGACAGCTCAACTGTCTCTCCCTCCCCCC